TATAACTGATATATATTGGCTTATCTTTGTCATGTTATGTTCCTGCTGTTGGTTCCTCATTTTCTCCTATGTTTAATTGCTTGCTGGTTCCTTTCTATTGTTGCACTTGAAATTTTGGTCATTTTTATCTCTTTCTAGAATATCCTTTAGTACTCTTTGTAGGGTTGGTTTGATGCTCATGAATTTCTTCAGTTTTTCATCATTGTAGAAATATTTTATTTCTGCATTAATTTTGAAAGATAGTTTTGCTGTGTACATCAATCTGTGTCAGACATTGTTTTCTTTCAGGACCTAAAATACTTTACTCCAAGCTCTTCTTGAACTGATGGCTTATTTCTAGAAATCTGCCATGATTCTGATGAGCTTTCCTTTATAGGTTATCTGTTTCTTTTGTCTAACAGCTTTTAATATTCTGTTCTTTTGCTGAACTTCTGGGATCTTGATTATTATATGTCTAGGTGTAGATTTATTTTGGTCACAGCTAATTGGAGTTGTATATGCCTCATTGAACAGTATGTCTGAGTCTTTTATCATTCTTGGGAAATTTTCTGCTATTATTTTTGCAAATAGTATTTTTATGTCATTTGTGTTGAATCCTGCTGTCAGTGACACCTATTAATCTTACACTTTTTCTGTTTGTCATCCTACAGCTGTTCAATTGCTATTTCCTGGTTCCATATTATTTTTAAGAGATCCTCCCTTTCATGATCATTGGTTGCAATGCTATCTTCAAGGTGTGATAGTCTATCTTCAGCTTTGTTTAGGTGGTTTTGCCAGGTTTTGATGGAATTTTAAGCTTCCTGGATATCTCTTTGGACCTGTTTCATGCATTCTAATTCTTTCCTATCATGTTCATTCAAGGTTTCCCTCATTTTTCTGTGTTCCTCTATTTTTTTATCTATATCATCTTTAGTTGTGCTGGGCAATTCTTTCATTATGGCTGTCATTTCTTTATTTACCTCAGAGATTATTTCTGATCTGATGTCTTCTATGAAATTTTGTCATATTTTAGGCTAGTGATCAGGTCTGTTTCCTTAATTTCTAGTTCCTGTATCTTTGTTATCTGTTCCTTAATGCATATTCATTATTTATAACAATATGCTGCACACTGTGATTCTGTATTTTGCAAAACTGTAGGTACAGTTTTATGTCCAGAATTGTTTTACCATTCTCCAAGATAATTTGCTTCTGCTGAGTGTTTAGGAACACCAACAATTAAGATGTATTAATCCAACTTCAGGATTCTGAATTTAGAATTTTCCTAGTCAATATTATGAGTGCACTCAGATAACTTCCAATTTGTCACAGATTCATAATTAATTTCTTGAAAAAATTTCACCTTAATTATAAAATCCCTACCTATATGGGCAAAAGTTTTGTTTGGACACAGTAAGTGGTTATCAGTTTTATGCAACTTATAGGTAAATTATTCATATGTTTATATATATTACACACATGTATTATCACATTTATTTGTATTCTAACTGGGGAAAACACATTTGGGGTGGTTACAAAGTATCACATAGCACAGTGAGTAATATGGTAGTTTGGTTTAGATCTAAAATATCCCCAGTAAGTCTCATGTGTTGGGAAGGTGACTGTACCATGGGAGAGCAACACTCATCAGTAAATTCATCTATTGATGAATTCAGTAGCTGAATGGGGTATTAGGAAATGGAACCTGGTTGGAGGTGGGTGACTAGGAAAGTGGCTTGGATGGGTATACTCATATCCTAATGCTCACTCTCCCTTCCCCTCCCCCTGTCCCAGCCCCTCCTTCTTCTTCTCTCTCTCTTTCCCTTTCTTGGCTGTCTTGCAGTGACAGCATTTTCCCACCATATTCCTCCACCATGATGTTCTTTCTTGGACCAAACAGCCACAAATGAATCTTCTGAAAACCATGAGCCAAATATACTTCTCACACTTTAAACTGTGCATCTCGGGTATTTTGTCCCAGGAACAGGATGTGACTAATATATATTGATTAAATATTCAATAAAATATAAATGATTGTGAGTGTAAAGAAATAAATATACAAACAGAGCTAGATCATCATTTATCAAGTAGGAAAAGTGTATCCAAATAAAGATATTCCTAGACTTTTGCACAATTACAGCTCTGTGTGTCTCGAGTACAACACACAGATTCAGTAAAGTAATGTTTATCATAATTACCCCATTCAATGAAATAAAAAGTATATGAAACATAGTATATCTAACAGGTAACTGTTATGGAGATAACTCAGGAGAAACACTACAGACATCTTGCAATACACCAAATTTAAGTAATAAACTGGGATAAAATTTAGCAGAAAACAGAACTACTCTATTCCCATGTATTTCACACTACAATCTACCCTAAAGGGAAATCACATTTCATTCAATAGCCTTATATTCATATTCTAAAATGGAAAAGATACTGTTGGACTATTTTGAATAGTTCTAGATGTTATGTTTTAAGAGTATTAATAACATGGATATTAACAATATGGAATACATTCAGAAAGAAAACCCAAAACACTGTAACATCTATGAGATATACAAGAAGGATTTCTAAAAGAAATAATGGTAATCATTGAAAGAAATATGTCACTGAAACTACCACCTACTACTAGAAGTACTCTGTATTAGAACTAGGCTGGGTTATCTCAGATTCTGCAGATAATAAAACTGAAGTAAATGGATAGCTATTGTAAAATAGGGAAATTTCAACTCAACATACAAAATCATCTTAAAAAACACAAAATGAAAACAGGAATCTTGAAAAGTATGAAAAACTTTGAAACTAAAGGTATCAAAATATAAAAGTTATAATTATCTTATTAAGAAAAGGATAGAAATAAGTAATTCCAACATTTCTTCCAAGTCTAAAACTCTATTCTTATTTAAAATACTTTTCGGGTTGGGAGTGGTGGCACACACCTATAATTCCAGCACTCGGGCTATAAAGTGAGTTCAAGACCAGCCTGAACTGCATACTGAGATGAGACCCTGTCTCAAGAAAGACCAAAAAATAAATAAATAAAGTACTTTCTGTCTTGGTTAAATGATTAACCTTAAAAAATTAGGAAGCTGTGGGTATAGCTCAGTAATGTAGCACTCATCTAACATGTGAAACTGAGAGTTCAATCCCCAGCAAAATAAAAAATTTTAAATACAAAAATTACAACATGAATTGATAATCCAACCAGTTTATCATTAGAAAATAAATACTTCTCTCCCTTTGGAAAGCTTTTAAAATATGATATAGGGATTTTTTAAAATTATAAATCATTTTAATTTTACTGATTTCAGTAAATAGTTCTTCATTCAAACTAAATTCACAAAGGCATAAATTTATAAAATTTTATTTGATCAGAACTATCAAAAGTACCTGACATATAACACAAAATTGACTCACTTACCAAAGCCCACTAAAATGAAAAGAATTCACAGCTCAGATTTACCAAAATATTTCTATCCCAATGTGTATCACACTGACAATGATTTTCATCATCTCAGATACACTAACTTTTAAAATTCAAATTAAAATAAATAATAGAATTAAGTTTACCATATACTTTTAAAACCACACCATCAATTTCAAACATACCTGCTTGCAAACAATTCAGGTTACAAAGAAAAGTATTTGGCAAAATTTTGCTTCAATTCACAAACTCCACATCAGGTAACAAACACGACCATGGCCATTCTCCCCACACAAACACAAATGCAGCCACCTTTCCCAAATTTTTTTTTTTTTTTGGTTTTTCTCCAGGACTAGGAACCAAACTCACGACCTTGCGCTTGCCAGGCAGGCGCTGTGCCGCTGAGCTAAATCCCCAGCCCCCCAAAATTGTAAAACAAATCAAGTTCATAAACCGAGGTACTACTGTGTGCACATACACACAGTGTGCATGCATATTATGTATATATGTGGATACAAACATTAGTTTGCTAACCAAGAAAACTTCTGTACTAATTTATACTAACACTATTTTCAAATCAAAGTAAGTATAAAGTTAATAAGTAGGTAGTCTTAACGTATTTTAAAACATTTAAAAACATATCATCTTAGTTGTACTTTTTCAAGTAATCCCACTTTATGAGCAGCAAAATTAAATATGCTAATACAGAAAGAATATTTCACAAGCTAAACCAGTATAGAACATAATAAAATAAAAATCCAAAATCTCATTTTTAATTATTATTTATTACAATATGAATGCTATATAACACATAGCTAGGAATTTGAAAAGGAATAACGAATCAAAGTATTACCCTTGTGCTACAGTTCAGATCTAAACTGGCCCCAAAAGCCTCATGTATGTGGAAGGTGAGCAGATCATGAGGGCAGCGCAGCTACCCTGCCGTTAGGAAGTGGGGTCTGGAGCAAAGAAGTGTCTCCTGCGATGGTGACCGCTATGGGTATCTCTCCCCACCCAGCAACCAGCTTCTTCCTCTGCTTTCTTTTTTTTTTTTTTTTTTTTTTTTTTTTTTTTTTGGTTTTTCTCCAGTACCGGGAATCGAACTCACGACATTGCGCTTGCCAGGCAGGCGCTGTGCCGCTGAGCTACATCCCCAGCCCCCTCTGCTTTCATCTACCGTGAAAGTAGTAGACATACTCAGCTTTCATCTACTGTGTCCCTCTGCCATGCTGCTTCTGCCCTGGAGCCAGTGACCACGGACTGTATGACATTTGGCCAAAAGAAACTGCTCTTCCTTTAAGTTACAGGTGTTCAGTACTTTCTGAGCAAGAAGGAAAGTGATTAAGACACTTGTTAAAAACTGAAACAAGACTACTCCTTGACTATGTTCTCTCAATAGCGTGGACCTCCATTCATACTGGCAAAATATTCCCAGTTGAGTACGCACAATCCCATATTTCCAATGCATAAACATATATACCCAATAAAGATACATCACTGTCATTAGGGAGCATTAATAATAAACACAAATGCCATCATACTGAATGACTAATGACATTTCTATGATGTTGACTTACAAACCGCATACACTTGCCTGACCAAGGAAATATCCACATCCTTTTGCAAAAGTTCAGTCTGTTTACTGTTCAACTGTAATGACAGAGCATCACATTTACTCTTTGATACTTCAATTTCTTTCCTTGCTTCAATTAAATTATCTTCAAAGGCCTGAAATTAGAGCATTTACATTACAGTTAAACATAACACACATGAAACACAAGTTATACTTTACTATTCTACAAAATGAACAAAAAAATGAAAACTTTTAATTTTTTTCACTAGATTAAAAAAAAAAGAACAAATTGTAATTTTGTACAAGTCATAGACTTTTTCTCAGAAACAAAAAATGCATCATAGCTTCCTGCTGTCAAAACTAAGAATTTAAAGTGACAAAACTTGAAAGCTTGCATAGAAATTTAGTTACTAAAATTGTAATACAGACCATATTGTAAAATTTTATTTCAGTAAATGAAAGATGAGTTCAATTACATAAATAGAAAAAGTGATTACCTCATTTCATTGTTTCCTCTTTTCAAGTGTATACACACAAATATACTCAAAAAAGAAAGAACAGCCAGGTGTGGTGGCGCACACCTGTAATCCCAGCACTTGGGAGGCTGAAGCAAGAGGATCATTGCAAGTTCGAGACCAGCCTGGGTTACAAAGTGAGCTCAAGCCCAACCTGAACTGCACAGGGAGACCCCTTCTCAAAAAAGAAAAAAAGAAAAAAAAAAGTATTGTAAACATATCAAAACATTTTCCAAGGTTTGAGACTCAGACCATGCTCTGCTCTCTTGATTATGATGAAATTTTAGCCAAAGTTCTTCAAATTTGGCCTTTTCCTTCTGACCATTCTCTAAGTTCATGCAGAATAAATTTTAAATGTTGAGGTCATACTTCTGTTTTTAAAAACATGTGCATTTGTATTATTTTTTGAAAAATTAAATAATATCTAAATAGAGTTTGCTCACATAAACACCATATATTCACTAACACTAAAAATGAGCATTAGACTGCTAAATAAGAACTAGTAATTCCCATTCAGTTCCAAGAAGGAATGACAGATACTTACATAAGCTGATACATAAAGAAAAGAAGTAAGGGAGAAAAAGAAGAAAGGAAACAATGAAGGAAGAGAGGAAGAACTTTTTTCCCTTCACAGTATGAAAATAATTACGCCAATGGATCTGACAAGAAATGATGAGAGTCAAGCGAAAATGTTTCTGTCTCTGTGCTCTACTTACTCTTCTTAAAGCTGCTAGAAGTTGAACTCTTTAGAGGTAATTAGGACTCAGCCCAGTGGTAAGGCTTGGCAGGATAATAACTCAGAGTTGGCAAATGAACCTGGGAACTATGGAAAGGAGAAAGAAGGGAGGGAAGAAGGGAGGAAGGGAGGAAGGGGAGGACTTTTGTGCCTGTGGGCTGAGGACACAAAAGGTATTTTTTACACGACCATAGGCAGGATCAGTGAAAGCTGCCCATCTCATGATCCCGTCGGACTTTTGTTAAATATCAGAGGTGAACACGGAACCCCAGGCACTGAAGATTTCTCTCAGACTTAGGACCCTAAAGTGCCAGGAATACCAAAAGTGTCTTAAAAGGACAAGTTAACATTGGGGTAACTGGTGTCAAAGCAGAAACAGAAAGACAAAAGCTACTGAACCCAACCAATCAAATAATCCAACCAAAGCTGACAGAGGCAAAGATCAAGATGTGAGACATATTCTAAAGACAGAAATGACGAACACTGTTGGTAAGTCATCCCTGTGACAGCAAGATAAAGCCAGGAATCAAAGATGTGTCCCATGGATATGGCCTGAGCACACGATGAACACATTTGCCACTGTACAGAGGATACGGACAGGACTAATTTGAGAACAAAGATTTAGATATCTGTTTCAGACAGATATAACAGACATTTTTAAATTTTGGGAAAATACCCAGACAAGGTTTCCAAAAAGCTTAAACACCTAGAAAAACATTCAAATGAAAAATCTAAATTACCAGAATTATTTAAAAGTAACAGAACTTCATTTCTACTTCTAAATATTTAAAGAAGGGAACAAAATAAAAGAGAAAAATGCATTTCTGAGTACAGCCTTAAAACAGAATTCCAGCTTGAGTTTTCCTTTTTGGAAGGTCAACTAACCCAAATCTAAAGCCAGGCAAAGTAGTCATGTTCCCGAGGTACTTGGCAGAAAACAGCTTTTCTCTGGATGAAGACCTCTTCAGAACAATAGTGTGTTAAAGTGAAACCTCTTACCATTTTCCACGGTAAACTGTGGTCAGGTTTGAGTCACATGACTATAATACCAATTTTAAATGAAAAAATTTAAAGGAAATAACACAAGAAAAGTTTTAAAAGTTAATGAGGGGCTGGGGATATTGCTCAGTGGCACAAGTGCCTCTCTGGCAAGCACAAGGTCCTGAGTCTGATTCCCAGTAACAATAACAAAAAAAAAGTTAAAGAAATATTTAATAAATATCAATAAATTAAATCATTTAAAACCTACTCACAAAAACACTGTACTCAGTCCTGCAAGTTTAAAAGAAGGATCTAAGAAACTTTCAATAAAAGAGTAACTTTTTATGAAATTTGTATGATCTTTTATCCAAGTCAGAAATGGGAGGAAAAAAAAAACAGGAACATGGGGCTGGGGATTTAGCTCAGCGGCAAAAGCGCCTGCCTGGCAAGCGCAAGGTCATGAGTTCGGTTCCCGGTACCAGAGAAAAAACCAAAAAAAA